AGCAGTTACCTGTTTTTACTGCGTGAACTTTCCCATTCTGAACATTTGTTGCTGGAAAAAATGTAAAAATGAAAAAAAAAGAATTGTACATGTTATCCTCATTGCCTCCCCTGTCACTTTCAACTGATTCTCAAACAATCTTCTCCTTCCTCTCTCCTTTGAAACATTGGAATAAAAACAGTGCTGAATAAAATGCTCTTCTCTTTCTCAGATGCGACTCTGTCTCTTTTATTGACGTTTTTAAAGCTAAATAAAGCCTTCACTTTTTTATAATGCATCTCAAAATGTCTCCTTCCAGGAGCTTCCAACTTTAAATCTCTGCATCTCAAGTTTGTAATAAATACAAACAAATTCTCAAGAGATCAGAATTTGCTCACTCCAGAGCATTGGTAAACCTTATTTTCTTTTTTCTTTTACATGCTGATTTGTAGAAAATTGATCTTCACGTGTTAAATCATTTATTATGTCCCTCTTCAAACTGGAAATGAATGTACCACTTTTAAATAATCCACAATAAACAGTAAAACAAGAACATATTGATTCAAACAAAGAGTTACTGGCTCCAACAACCTAAAATCCTCTGAGCATGTAATAAATATCAACAAGACGCCTTTAAAGTCACCGTCATGTATTTGTAATGATAAATGGGTTGTACTGATTATCTGGCAACAGAGGGCACTGTTAAGCAAAGCTGTCCAGCATATTTGAAACCAGAACTAATGTTTAAGCCTGGATATCTTTCCAATGTCTGATCACATGTGTGCAACTTATGACGGATCAGATGAGCAACATGTGTGTGTTCATGCACCTGCCCGTCCTGCACTATTTTAGGCACACAGCCTTTGTAGTTTCACTCTCACACCGGATCTCCCGCCTTAAGCTCAGACTTAGCGCAGCTGATCCCAGAGACATAAAGGCACCATGCCCCCAACTCTGACCAGTCAAAGGGATCAAGATTAGCCATCACACCCTCTGAAACCCCCCAACACACCACCCATTCAGTCCAAACTCCAGGAATACTCATATGCAGCATACACACATGTCAATCAAATGCCTATTGTAAGGGCATCAAGCCTTTGAACATAAGATACATGCCAAGTGGAGTCCCTCGCTCTTTCCTCTCATCCACCCTGTCTCTCTTTTAATTCTCCACAGCTGAGGGGACACATGGCACTGATCCCTTGAGAAGACCCAAGGTCAGACTGGGGGCACAGACATTAAGAGGGGAGGCCTGGTTCTGGTATCCAATATCCTTCATTTAGTGTGATACACGCTAGCAATTCAACACGTGATGATTTCTAAAGATATATACTTGTTTCTTTTAATACTGTGCTTTCTAAATTATTTTAAATGTTTAGTAAGATAATAACCAAAAGAGGGCTCAATTAGAAAGTAACTGCAGTTTAGCTTACACAATGGGGATGCTAGTAATTACTTTACAACTACATAACTACAGATAATTAGTAGAGCCTATTAAACACAAGCTTAGTAATAAATCCAACCATCCAACATCATTAGGATTTGCTTTATTTCATTTTAATTGTTGGACAGTAGAAATATCATTTAGTTTTGGACTAGTGTTAAGACAGAACTAGCACTGCGGACAGATTGCTATTAAAACATTTGCCTCTGACCTGAACAGCACCTGAACTTCGCCTGATGAGAAACCACTTTGAAACTAAATATTGTCTGTTGCAATTTATTGTTTTGCTTCAATGTTGTTATCTGAGTATAGAAAATGTATTAAACAATACTGTTTCTTGACCTAAAAATAACTCAGTGTTGATGTCAGTTTTAAACAAATCTTAAAAATGTGTATAAGTTCTGTCCTTTTTCTTTGAGAAGAAAAAGCATTTCAAGTCAAGGTTTTTTCTTTGGTCCTTAGCTGCAAGATGTTTAGTGCTAAGTAGTACATATTGGCATGCTAAAACAAGCATTGTAAACAAGTAAACATGATACCTGCTAAACATCAACATGCTTGCGTTGTCATTGTGAGCATGTTAGCATGTGAACATGTAGCTACAGCAGAGCCACAGAATCACTAGCATGCTGTTAAATATGAGTTTTTATCGAAACCAAGTGTGTAAGGATGGAAATTGTTGCACAAATTGTAAAGCCCTCTGTGGTAATACACGTGATTAAGGGACCGTAATGTTCAATTATTTTATAGTGTAGGCTTATGCTCTATTATTTTGTTCCCCTCACACATGCATGTGTACACCTGCATTCCAGCCATACTTCTGTAAGAAGGAGGCTGTATCACAGCACTGGCACTCCTTCTCTTGGCTTCTTCCTCCTCCTTACTGCAGGAAGTAATTGAACTTGAACAAACATGTGTCCATACACACACACACACACACACACACACACACACACACACACACAAACACGCACACATATTGTACACACAATCCAAACTAATCACAACCAATACTCTGAGTCAGTAGTGTTGTGCTGCAGTTCACACCTGCTTCAGCCTCTAGAGTGCAACACTATCACATCAGCCAAGTCGTCTCTTAATAAAGAAGCTGGCTCCTGTGGAGGTCTCAGCCGGCAGTTGTTACTGTCACTCATGATCATCACAGCCTCCCCCTGCACACACACACACACACACACACGCACACACACACACACACACACACACACACACACACACACACACACACACAGGCACCAGCGAGTTGGAGCTTGTGAAAACACCCACACATGACCCCAGTATGCATGCACACACACACACACACACACACACACACACACACACACACACACACACACACACACACACACACACACACACACACACACACACACACACACACACACTCACCCTCTTTCAGGACGCGCACACACACACAAAAGCACACATGAGCCAAGGAGCATGGGCAGCAGGGTCACCCTAGCGCCATGCTTCATAAAGGGCGCCGTTACAATAGGTTTACTGTTACTCTGACGACTGCCGGGATACAATAGGACTGAATGTGCTGGCCTAATGCTCCTCCATTTCTCTCTATTTTTCAAGGAAGACAGACTGAGACGAGACAGCATGAAAGCAGAGGATGCCCCTGAAGGTGAGTTGGCTCATTGAAGTGATAATGTCATATGTATTTTCATGTGTATGCATAGGAAACATGTAGTGTTGAGAGACAGCTATGTGGGAGAGTAAGTTATGGATTGCATACATTTGTTATGAGACTGATTAAAAACATGTCATGGTGAGCTTCTAATGCTACTGTCAGATATCCAAACTGTTTTAATTTGTGTATGGTGCAAATGAAACACATTATGACACCTTAAGCATATATCTTGATCATACAGGACATGCAATCCACTGAAAAATGAGAGCTTACAAAAAAGTGGTGTTGGATTTCATCATGCTGAAATATTTCTTAAGAAATTCTGAAAAGGATGAGCAAGGACAGGACAGGAGAGGAGAGGAGAGGGGAGAGAGAGGGAAGAAGAGGAGACTGGCATACGTAAAAGGGAACGGAAATGCTGTGGGCCAGAGGAGGTACACGTTAAATGGACATTTCACAGACCGACACTTCAAGAAGGTTACTCTGTAAGGTGGATCTAAATACAGAGAGCTGAGGAGAGAGGGGTGTCACTGAAAGAAGAAAGGAGGAAAGGGGTGAGAGGGATTACCGTAATAGAGGGGCAGGGGTGGAGATGGGGTTGGGTTTGGTGTGACAGATGGGACTTACCCAGATCCAGAGGGGTGTGGTGCTGAATTGTGAGATTGCTCTGAGTTGGGACAAGCAGCGATATTTGCACTGCAGCTGTCAATGATTCAACACCTATGGAGCTCCACCCCCTCCCCCTCGTATGATACTCACAACACATGCACACACTCAAGTTCCTATTTCATATCTTGTGATAGACCTTCATACTTGGTTTTGTCTTGAGTCAATTAACAAGTTGAAAACATTCCTTTGAGACAGTGACACTGATTCATGTTCTTGGTTAAAGATGAACATTTATTCTATTATGGTGTCTGCGTGATAGAGGTATACAGGCCATATTTGCGTATGGCGTGGCCTGTCTGTACTTTATTATTCCTCTTCGACCAAAGTTCAATGATTAAGCCATTTGATTACAGTAGAGCTTTAGTTAGCTGTATTATAATAACCTATTGTATTGGACTTAAATGTGTTAACATGGATGGATATATACCCAAACAAAGATTTGTGTTTGTTAAGATGTAGGTATTATTTGTTTGAAGAGGAAAATATATAAAAAAGATTAAGTAGAAGTCTATCTATCTATCTAGTACAGAGAAACTCAGATTGATTAATAATGTAAAAGTACAACTTCAACAACCCCTGCATTCTCACATAGCTAAGTACTTGGAGAATCAGCTAAATGCACTTCAATTATCAAAAAGAAAGTACTGATTTTGATCATGAGCTAGTTTAAAGTCTTGCCGTTTAGTCCAGGGGTCATGTCCCTCCAATAGCTCACATCATAAATCTGCATCTTTTTGTGAAACAAAGGGGTTGCATCTGTTTCTTTATCTTTGCATTGAATTGTATACTGTAAACTACCAAAGTACCAGCTGTTTTTGGGAACATTTGGATTGGTAAAGCTATTAGGTGGAATTAAACAAAAATATTCAAGTTCAGCAGGTTGAATTAATGTAGCATACTAAGCTACTTTCCACCTTTGCAGTCGTGCCACATTCGATTAGGCTACTACACATAAAAACTGCGCACTCATTAGACCCTTTTCGGAACTGTATAGCCACACTTTTGGTTTCTGGTGTTGAACTTGATCTGATAAATCAAGTGTATTATTGACAAGACAATACTTTGGGAACAAGCCAGTTTTTGTATCAGGAAATTCAGTGGAAAACAAATCAGTTACCTGTCAGCTTGTCGGCATATGGCTTTGATGTATCCTCCTCGCGCCCGCCTCCCCTTCTCACCTGGACGGAAATGAACATAAAAGGCATAGGTAAAGGCTGCCTCCTCCTCCTTCTATCTTCAGGTAGTGCGGGACGGTAGATCCCTTCTGTAGTCTACTTTCTGCTGAGGAGAGGCATGACGCTAGATATGTTTCACTCCTGTAAATATGAGACAACTTGAAATATTCTTCTTCTGTTTCCTCACAACCAGTAACCTCACGGACTAATGGGGCTTATACTGCTGAGCCTGATTCTCCTGTACTGGATCAACACCGCGGAGGGTAAGCAGGACTGTTGTTCGGTTTAAACATCAAGGCCACGTTTATAAAGCGCAAACAAAGAGTAACAGTTACTCAAGAGCAAGACCATAAATGCTGTGTTGGTATTTATGACTGGTGTTTTATTGTGAAAATGCAAACAAAGCTATTTAAAAAAATGTTGCACTTTATCACATGTTAATAAATATATAACCAACACATTTAACTCAAACAAACTTTACAAATTCAGATCTGGTCCCTGAGAGGCCTTTAAATATTGCAGGAATTATGTTCTTGGTGACATGCTCTCTAACTGTGCACTATGTTCATTTTGCTGCAGGATCATGTTCAGCTGGCAGCGCTGCAGTGACCTGTGATGAGTGTCTGCAGCTCAGCTCTCACTGTGCCTGGTGCACACAGGAGGTAAGCCTGGGTTGCATGTATGAAAACATAACATATAGGTAGATAGGCGTAATGCATAATGGTTCTAGGGTCGCAGGTGAGCAAAATGCCATCGCCTGTTTGGATGTTGCACCCGGTGATGCTAAGATATAAAGACATACTGGAAATCTTCTATCAACATTTGATTTTGTTTTCCTTCGGCTCTTAGAATTTCACAGACTGGTTTTCAGTCAGCGAGCGATGTGACACACTGGATAACTTATTAGAAAATGGATGTGCCAGGGACCAGCTGGAGTTCCCTGTTTCCGTGGGTCAAATCTTGCAAGATCACCCGCTTGGGAAGAAAACAATCAACGACAACACCACCCAGATCTCCCCACAGAAAATGGCCCTCAAGCTGCGACCTGGTATGTGACACAGCACATTTTGATTTGATGATCTGCTTGGATGAAGGTAATTTTATTCAGACGAAAAATCAGTTGTTTATTTTCTTTCCTGTCTGTTCTGCACAGGCACTCAGGTGACTTTCCAGGTCAAGATTCAACACACAGAGGACTATCCTGTGGACGTCTACTACCTGATGGACCTGTCGGCGTCCATGATCGACGATCTTGTGATGATCAAAGACTTGGGCACCTCTCTATCTAAAGAGATGGCCAAGCTCACCAGTAAATTCCGAATGGGCTTTGGTTCCTTTGTGGAGAAACCCGTCCTGCCCTTCATCAAGATCACAGAAGAAGAGCTGGCTAACCCCTGCAGGTAAACAATAAATATCAAAAAATGCTCTTCAACAACATCTTAATTTCTAAGGTTTGAAACTTCAGCAAAGTAATTTGGTATCTGTGGGAATCTTATATTTCAAATCCTTGTTTTTGGCTTCTGTTGTGTTGCAGGGGTGTAGGCTTGCACTGCCTGCCAACATTTGGCTATAAACACGTTTTGTCTCTGACGAGCAGTACTGACAAGTTCAACGAAATAATTGCAATGCAGCGCGTTTCAGCAAACATTGATGTGCCAGAGTGTGGCTTTGACGCTGTCATGCAGGCAGCTGTTTGTGGGGTAAGATTTTGTTTTCGAAAATAAGATATTCACTTAGATCTTAGTTTTTTTCTTTGTGCTTAACTTCATTATTTAATTAGTCAGTTGAGTTACACCCTGATGGTAGAGAGAGAAGGATGAGCAACATAATGTGTTTCCTGATAGGACAAAATAGGCTGGAGGAATGACTCGATGCGTTTGCTGGTGTTTGTCAGTGATGCTGACTCACACTTTGGGATGGACAGTAAGATGGCTGGCATCGTGATTCCCAACGATGGTCAGTGTCACCTGGATGTCAACAACGAATACTCCATGTCCACAGTGCTGGTACGTCCATGGCAGTTTGTATTTTTTGTTCTGCATTATGGTGCAATAGTAGTTGTTCTTATTAAAATGTAAACCCAGCAGTTTCCTGATATTCGATTAGATTCAATTTCATGAGTAATACTGTATCATCTCTGATGATTTGTCACTGCCGTACAGCACATTGTTGACATTTTCGCAATTTTTTCTCAGGAGTATCCCACTCTTGGTCAGCTGATTGATAAGGTGGTGGAGAACAACATCCTATTGATATTTGCTGTAACAGAAGGAGAACAAAATAACTACAAGGTAACATCTTATTTCCATAAATGTATTAATTCCCAGCTCAAAACTAGAGAGCTGAAGGTGAAGATGTTTGAGGTTAGCCTGATTATTCATGGAGCTGCATTCTCATTCAACCTGTTCAAACTAGCCCTCTTTCCTTCTGTATTTCTCTTTTTAGGACCATGAGCCAAGTCTTCCCAAACTTCTTACTGGTACTTTAATGTTTATCTTGTTCTCTTTTCTTCACAGAACTATGCAGATCTCATACCTGGCGCCACAGTTGGAGTTGTGGCGAAGGATTCGCGGAACATCCTGGAACTGATTGTAACAGCGTACAAAGTAAATAAACAGTCTTTGTGATGTGGATGATACACTGAGTGTGGGCACGCACTGGTCATAAGTCATAGGACAGAACACACCTGTCATTATAAAAGCTTGTCACATTAATTGAATCCAGTTAATGTATATCTTTGTGTTTTAACCATCACATTATGAACAGAAAGCACAAGCGAACACTCCGTACATTTTTCACAGTCAATAGTCAGTATCTCTGCCTTCGCCATTTCCTTTCATTCTTTGCTTTTCCTCTTTCATTCTTTCTTCTATTACGTTTTTCCCTCTACCACCCGGTGGTTTGCATCAGCATGTTTGACAGCAAGTCTTTGCTTGTCCCGGCTGTTTGATCTCCTCGTCCCTTCTGACTCTGACTCGCTCTACTTCCCCACTCTCTCTCTATCTTTCTCTGTCTTATCACTCCAGCACTCCTTTTGTAAATCCCCCCTGGCGGATAACTGGTGGCGGTCCTCTAATTAATTCATCAGTTATGTTGTTTTAAATCCTCTTTTAGTCTCTGCCTTGCATTGATTGCGGTTGTGGTTCTTAAATCAAATACAAAACACATATTAAGTGATAGAAAACATGTGATTATTATTTATAAATAACTGACTTTTGGATAATTGTGAGTATCTCAGTGGGCATATATTTTGGCCAGCCAAGCCAAGTCCCTGCGATGTATTTACTGAAACGTTAAGTCTTTTGAATCTGTCACTCGCACTCAACTTTAATCCATCTTCTATTGGGTGTATCCTATAAACGTCCCTGTGTTTTCTCCTACTTAGCAACACTGAAGGCGCAGTACAATTACAGGCCTAGAGGAAACACACAATTTACCTTGTGTGAGCACTAGACAGTCCGTCACTGAGTTCATTAGTCAGTCAAACACAGTCTTTCACCTGCGGTGAGGTTATCTGTCGCCCTCTCCTCAGGTGCTTTATAAAGCCCTGCACACCTGGGAGGATGACTCACCTAAAAGAGAGAGCTAGATATGTGTTTTCAAACTGTTTCAGCACACCACAGGTCAACGCAGGGTGAAATTGTAATTCCACTTAAAGCCCTGGAAACCCCCTTCATGATAACAGAAGTCTCTTTATTGATTTATTATTAATAATGTATGTGATTTTGGGGAGGAAAACTTTTATTCAGTTCCAGGTTTGTGCTTCCATTTGCATTTCCATACAAGAGGTGCTGAAATAGACGTGTACTTTCTTTCTAGGAACTGCGTTCGGAGATCGAGCTCGAGGTCCTTGGAGACACAGAAGAGCTCCACATGTCTTTTACAGCCATTTGCCCAAATGGGACCGTCTTCCATGATCAGAAGAACTGCTCCAACATCAAACCTGGAGAAACGGTCAGTTGTTTTGCTGTAGATTGCTCTTTCCTGTTTTTGCTTTGCAGCTTGTATACATACTTGTGCAGTTCAAACTGACTTACAATCTGAAATAGGTTTGACTATAGAAAAATAGGAACAGTAAAATATTGTACCTGCTAGTACCTGATGACGATGTTGGTTGTTTCTGCTGTTTGTTTAATAAAACAAGAAACTTAGTGAAGTGCTTTGGGCTGTTGTAAATTACTATTTTCTGATATATAATAGACGGAATGATTAAAACTAATTCATAAAATAAAAAAAAAGATTTCATAAACATAAAATGATAAAGCTTTATTTTTGTTATTGGCAACTAGACCAAGAATACATTGTATATTTTCTTATAAAGGCTAAATAATTTCCTAGTAGTAGTAGTTTGCCTCCATCTGTTGGATGGAGGCAAACTAAACTAGACTGCTAAACATCTTTATATTGAAGGAACATGTCATTCAGTTCAACCGTGCGACTCATTAATGTGTTTTTCATAGATTTTAGACCACAATGGGTAGGTACTCAGGCTAAACTTGTCATGATCAATTAATTGTTAGTTTGGTCTTTTCATGGACTTCTTCTTCTCACCTTAGGTAGTGTTCAACGTGACTGTGGAGCTGCCTGAATGCCTGTCCGGAGTTCGGCACTTCTCCCTGAAGCCGGTGGGTTTACAGGACAGTCTGGAGGTGGAACTGGAGTCTCTCTGCTCGTGTGACTGTAGGCATACTCCTGAAGCAAACAGCAGCCAGTGCACCGAGGGCCAGGGGGCTTTCCAGTGTGGAGTGTGTGTGTGTCACCCGGGGTTCCTGGGAGCAGAGTGTGAATGCAATGAGGAAAGCGCTTTGTTGAGCAACTGCCTCGCAAACAATGAGTCTGAGATATGCAGTGGTCAGGGGCAGTGCTACTGCGGAGAGTGTGTGTGTCATGCTTCCAGTTTTGGACGCATCTACGGACCTTACTGCGAGTGTAACAACTACTCCTGTGTTCGTTTCCGGGGGGAGCTCTGTGGAGGTGAGTAATAACACATGAAGAGTGCTGACGTGCTTTTAAGTTGAGCCTGTTGCTATAGTGACTTTCTGCTTGCAGGCCACGGGGTGTGTGACTGCGGGGAGTGTCACTGTGAAAGCGGATGGACAGAGGAGTACTGTAACTGCAGCAGCAGCACTGATGCGTGCATGTCAGAGGATGGAGCTCTCTGCAGCGGGCAGGGGAGGTGCGAGTGTGGCCACTGTGTGTGCTCGGTACCTGGAGCATCAGGGGACAAGTGTGAGAAGTGCCCAACATGCGGAGACGCCTGTACCTCTGCAAGGTGAGAACATAGTCATGCCATTCAATGTGAATAAGGGTGTAATGTAGAGGCTTTTGTCGGATTTATCTCTGTAATTGTTGTTTCTTTACCTGAAAGATATAAGATGTTGTCTCCTCGCGCCACATGATCCGCCTGTTCCTTTGAGTACAGGCGGATCTGGTTCTGGTCCCCTTTTTCACATGTGTCTACACCTTCAATGTGACATCAAAAGACAGCTAATGTCCCCAACACAGCCCTAAGAGATTGTCTTGCTCCATTGTAAAGCAGCTGTCACAGCCATTTGATACCACTGTTCAAGAGCAGGCCGAGGGTGAAAGGGAGCCAGTGAAGCCTTGGGAAAACTGTGATAAGTGACCAAAACTGTGATTTCTTTGTGCTCACTGTGTCACTGATTGAAGCCTCATTAAACCTTAGTTTCCGGAGGGGTACACTATCGTGTCTAAGGAAAACCTGACCTTTTCACTTGTTTTAACACCAGGGACTGTGTTGAGTGCCATCTGCAAGATGACGACGATGCAGAGTTGTGTGATCAAAAGTGCAGCGTCCCTAAAATATCCATCAACACGACTGCAGGTAAAGGACTCCATTGAGTAAACTACAGTTTACGCTTCTTTTTTGCAAACAATCGGACAGTAAAATATATCGAACAAACTCTTTGACTTGTATGCATTACAGGACTGCAACTAATGTGTATTTCCTAAATGTACCTGCAACATTTCGTTTTCGATTAATTTGGTTTAACATGTCAGGATTTGAGAACATTCCAAAGTAATATCTTTGAGTGTGTTGCGTTTTCAGTGTAAAACCCAAAGATATTCAGTTTAATTTAGTAAAAAAAACTGAGAAAAGCAAGAAATCTCTTTATTTCAGAGGCTAAGAACACCTTTTTTCTGACAATTAGTCATTTATTTTAAATTGTTGATTAATATTCTGTCTACCAAATAATCCATTGATCAACAAAGTGTTGCAGCTGTAATGCATTAAAAAAAATGTGCATTACAAAAATCTAATGACCAACTGTTTTCTAATCATTGGTTGGAAAGCAGAAATGGAAATGATATAGCTGTAATTTGATAATTAATCAAATTATTATCGCACAGCCACAATATACTTAAAATGCCATACAAAATGCCATATCTTTTAAAATGTAAATTGCTCATTCACAAGCAGCAGCCACGTATTACAGGTCATGTCAGTACAGTGTGAAATTCTGCTCTCAGATCCTTCTAACCTCAGATAGTTCATGTATCACAGGAAATAGTTTTGTTCTCTTCAGGTAACATTAACTTATAATGGCGATTTGGGTGTGTAATTTTTTTGCGTGGGTGCCTTCAAGAGCTAACCTTTGTAATCTGAAACCTAGTAAATAACCCTCACATTCAACCATTGAATGTTTGATGATGACATACAGTAGGGGCTTTTTGGCAGCCAAACCTGAATTGGTTTCTTGGAAGAGATTAACATGGAAGAATTTCACGAACAGCCCTCGACAAAAATAAAACAATGACAGCAAACAAAGTCACTAAATCTCCTCTCTGAAGGACCGTAAGCAAGTTTATGCAAGGAATAATGCATGAAATTAATTCTTTGGATACCTGGAAGGAAGTTATGATATGATTTTATTGAGCTAAAACATGCAAAATCAGATTGAACCTCTTAAAGATGGAATAAAGATCCTAACATCAGATCGTTTTTGATCTAATAAATAAAGAAAATGTGTCATGCTTTGTAAATTGACAGAAAATAATAATACATATCTTTAGATTTAGCCTTTTACCACAATCATATAACTCTGCTGTAAATGCTTCTTGTTGCTAGAGTGTGTTTCTTGCTCAGCTCAGTGTTTTTGATAGTGGTATAAACATACGGCCATGCTAAGTTTCCCCATGGGTCACAGATTTGGAGGAATGCTGACCTGCACCGACTCCGGTGTCTCTCTGAAGCCTGTACCCCCCTCTCTAACACAACACCATCCATGCCCATTCAGGCAGCATCTGACAATGGGGAACATATTATTTACCTTGTCGTACAGGCAGAGCTATTGTACTGCATGTGAATAGCCAAAGGACCCTGTCCTCCTTTATAGGGGAGATTATTTTAAACCAGCTATACTTGTGCAAGCGGAGAGGTATATCTGATTATCACAGAGAATTTTTAGGCTTCAGATGTGAAATACAATGGCGTGGTACACACACACATGCACACACACCAGATTGTAGTCTTTGATATGGAAATCACACTGACAGCACAACAGAGGCGAGTATATCCTTTTACATTCTCCGCACAATGCTGAAAGGGAAGATGATATACGATGGATTCATGCTATCCTTATGCTTATGTATGTTCACATTTTCTCTCAGATTATGACAAGAGCCCTTCTATGAAATGCAAGCTGATGATGGAGGATGAGTGCTGGGTATCATTTAATGTGGTAGGAGGTGAGACAGGGATCACGGCCTATGATCTCCTGAAGTTTGGTAAGTTTCACAAAAACACAGAAAAAATATGATCAAAAGAGGGGGTTATGGTGTGAGTCTCATCTCCTCCTCTGCCCTGTCCCAGGTTGCCCGGAGCCACCTAACATCCCCATGATTATTCTCGGCGTCTCCCTATCCATTGTGTGTATCGGCCTGATCCTCCTGGCAGTGTGGAAGGTGCTCGTGTCTGTCCACGATCGCAAAGAGGTGGCTAAGTTTGAGGCCGAGAGGGCAAAGGCAAAATGGCAGACGGTAAGAGCTTCATGTTGTTTGAAGGATAACGCTGATAGTATTCTTTATTTATCTTAGTGTCAACAAATCTGATAAAACACTGAAGCTCACAATGAATTGATTGATGAAGTATTGTCTATGTGATACGCCAATACATTTGAGTTTATTTGTGATTTCACTAGCAGGAACCACGCCACAACAATGTGATGTTTGTACGTTTATTGAAGTAACATGTGAATGATATGAGGGGGGTGAAGGGATGATCTGGGAGGACGAGCTATGGTCCGTGCAGTGGGAGACTCAGAGTGGGGGTTCCGTCTCCGGCATGATCTGCGTGGGCTGATTACGGGCCCCCAGACGATACCTGGAATTAAGATGTTAGTATATACAGTATATGAATATAAATGTTGACGGGCAGAGGATGTTGGGATGAAGGGATGAGGGATGGAGGGATGAGGGATGGAGGGATGTAGGGATGAGGGATGGAGGGATGAGGGATGAGGGATGGAGGGATGAGGGATGTAGGGATGTGGGATGAGGGATGTAGGGATGAGGGATGGAGGGATGAGGGATGGAGGGATGAGGGATGGAGGGATGTAGGGATGAGGGATGGAGGATGAGGGATGAGGGATGTAGGGATGTGGGATGAGGGATGTAGGGATGAGGGATGGAGGGATGAGGGATGTAGGGATGAGGGATGTAAGGGATGAGGGATGTAGGATGAGGGATGTAGGGATGAGGGATGGAGGGATGAGGGATTGAGGGATGAGGGATGTAAGGGATGAGGGATGAGGGATGGAGGGATGAGGGATGTAGGGATGAGGGATGTAGGGATGGAGGGTTGTAGGGATGAGGGATGTAGGGATGTTGAGGGGAGGGAGGGAAGAAGGGATGGATGGATGTATCGCTCGGTGTGAGTCAGACGGGGAACTGTATGGGTAGAAAGGGAGAGGGAGGGTGGGTTGAAAGGATGGAGACAAGCAGTGGCCGGAAGTTTTGCCGGATATAAATAGGGGTGGCCGTGGTTCGGGGTGGAGTTTAGGCGTGGCCATGCTCCTGAACCTATGTTAACATTTTAACCTCATTTGAACTTACAATGATGTTCAAAACTGTCAACATTTTATTGAGCAGTTTGGGAAAAAACATTGGGAAAAACCTTAGTCCATGTCAATGATTGTCACAGTCCGACACTGTAGGACAATCCCATCGAACAGATCTAAAATATTCTAGCATTATCTTTATTGTGACAATAATGACATTATTCATAACTCAAAGCGACTATGAATAATATCTTTGTGTTTTTTCTTTGTCTCTCTTCAGGGGACCAACCCTTTGTTCAGAAGCTCAACGTCTACATTCAAAAATGTAACTTATAAGAAAACAGAGAGAGAAAAGATCATTACGCTGGGTCACTACTGATGAAAAACCGGAGACAACAACATCTGAGTGCACTTATGTGTGTGTGTGTGTGTGTGTGTGTGTGTGTGTGTGTGTGTATGTGTGTTTGACACAGAGAGAAAGAATGTTGTACTAAATTTGTCTTTGAATTGCTATGTTGTGTTGAATCAGAGATGTTCTAAGTGACACAGTAGACACCACTGTGAACAGACAACATAACGTGATGATTTGCTGCTGTAAACGTGCACTGTCGATGTACTGTCAAACACTGCACTTTCCTGATGCAAGATCCTACAAACTTTAACTTTGTCTACTGTAAAATTCAGCTTGGGAAGGAGGAGTCTATGCTACAAGTGACTACTACTGAAACATTTGTTGTTCTATTCTAAAGTTATACAGGTGGATTATTTTTTTCATGTTGTGTTTTTGTGTTTGTTTGTTTATTGTAAAATAAGGCTGAGCCTTTAATGTTGACAATTGAGTTTTTTAAGTGGCATGGCACATAAATAAAGTGGAACTTTGACTGTTTCTTACATAATACTTTTAGCAATCAAGGTGTATTGTATTTAACTGTACTTCTTTGTTATGATGACAACTATTGATTAGATTTAGTGCCAAGATACCCAAAATAAAGTGAATTTGTATATAGTAGATTAGTGAAGTATGCTGAAGGGAGGTTGATTTTTTAAAAATCATTTAATTATTTGCAAACTTGCACCACTAGGATAAAGTGCCTTATTAAATGGATCCTGCTTTATTACGGCCCTGTGTTTGAGAAGAGTTTGTGTTGAAATGTAGTTTTAAAAACATTATCAATTTGTCTTTTATTGTGCTCACATGGTGCAAAAATAAAGTTGTCTTCAGAGAATTGACCACATAAAGAAAACCTTTGCTGATAATTCTTCTGGTGAAAGAGTACCGGTCGTTGAAAGTAACATGTTACAAGTAACAATGCTGCATTTAATTCAATTTTACTTGAATAAAACTGCAATAGCATCAGAAAACATTATGTAGATTATACAGAGTGGTCCGTTTCTGAAAAATGTTAAAGCTCACCGATTATGCAAAACTCCACTTTTTCATGTCTTTTATACATAAACATGTGTCCCCTCTGTGTAAATATATCCTGAACGTTTCAGGAAAAAATATTCACTCACTGTTTGTCCTGATCCATTTATTTCATAAAAACCTGTCTGAAAATGTGCAGATCAGATTGTGGCCACTTTATGATGTCATAACGATTTTTGGGCTTGTGTAACCATTAGCCAATAACCTCCCCCCCCCCCACACACTCACCTGAATCTCCTCCTAGAGCACATTGCAGAGGGGCGTTGGGAGTGGCAACTTATTTTCATCTAAAGTAAAAGACAGAATCAGCACTTTTGAAACAGGGCTGAAACAGAGGGGTTTATGGGATGCTGCAATGCACGATCTGTTTGGTATTTTGAGCCAAACCTATAATATATTGATGTAAAACAGTATAATAGGGGACCTTTAAATATAATTTTGGACTATAAATGAATGAAGCAATAATGTGTTAATCACTATTAAAGCAGTTGCTGAATGTAGGGCTGCTATTCTAATTTATACATCTCTTTGTTGATTGTATTTTATTATCAATAATCTAAAACTGCAAAGTAACGAGAAATGAAAGCTCTGAATTTTAGAGAACAGAAGTAGCAGCACATGGAAATACCTAAGCATCCTACACTTACCTGCCTGCCTGTCTGTTTGTCTATCTATCTATCTATCTATTATCTATCATCATCTATCTATCTCATTGGTACTCTCTCAGATTATTTATTTTATGTATAAGTACTGGAGTTTTTAGCAGGGGGTCTGGTTAAGGAACCCCTTGACCCCTGTCTGTCTGTCTGTCTGTCTGTTTATTTATTTGGTCTCTGTTGTTCAGACTAAATAAAGATGTGCTTGGCTCTTTCTCATTGAGAACAGTCCGGCAGTAATGCATTTTGAGGCCGGAGAGCAGCAGCAGTTCCTCCGTCAGACGTGACGTCGCTGGTCCCCCGCTGAAAAACTTCACTCGGCACAAAGTTTTCAGAAAACAACGAGCCCCAAAATACTCTCTGCGACCAGGAGCCTCGGAATGTGCGGACATTTGCACTTCAACACTGCATCCCGCCGTCGAAATGTTAGCACCGTTTCATTTAATCGACTCCGTGACTGTCGTGGCGACTGTTTTTGTAGCAGTGTTGTTGGCGAGAGGCTGCATGTGTGTCAACGAGGAAGACGATGAGGTCCTGGAGAAAAAACAGCTTATGGAGTTCTACAGTGAGTGAAATCATCCGGCTGCTCGGTTTTCCGTGTTTAAATGTAACTGACGTCCTGCAAAATAAGCCATCACTGCATCTTGTGTCCTATGCTTTTACATAACGTGGAAGATAATTGTATAACTGCTGAGTAGGCTAGCATGGGTAAAGAACAAGCATTATGCTGTCATTGTAGTAACAAGTTGTATTGAAGCTTGCTAGCTGCAGATTTGCTCACATTTTAGCAACAGGTTTTTAATTTTTTATGTATCTCATAAAAAAAAACTCAAAACGTGCAGTACACGGTTTTGGCCCTAAGAGAAATTAATATTCAAAGTAACTTAAACATCCTAAGGTGCAGTCTGAATAAGGAAACATACAGATGATTGAACATGTGATCATGTTAAGGGATGACATGATTAGTCGATTTATCAATTAGTCGATTTATCAATGAATCAATTGAGTTATAAGGAGAAACGTCAAACATTCCCTGACTACACCTTTTAATGTGTGGATACACTGACTTTCTCTGATTTATATCTTTCAATGTTGAATTAGACTTGAAACCATTGATGAAATGGATCATCTATTGACAGAAGATTAATATGCAACAATTCTGAAAACCGATTAATCATTACTGTTATTCAGGCAAACAAAACTGGCTCAAGACCTTCGTTTATTTATTGAATAAAGTTGTTAAAGTTAATATTTTTACGTTTGGTACTGTTGGTTGGACAAAAGAAGCTATTTGTATGGCAGCTTGTGCAAAAAGCCTTTTTATATGCTATACTAAAATCTATACAGATTTGAAAAGATATACAAAATTCTGAATTATTCTGAAATTAATTGTGCATGTGTTTTAATATTATGGTTTAGTCTTTGCTAGTATAAATAAACACAGACAACGGATATGCGGTCACTGAAAATACGCCCCTCACATTCAGTCTTGGTATTCTTCCCTGGTTATAAATAGTGTATGGAAAATTATTTCTACCTCCGTTTCCATCACTGTCATTTGAACACATTCATTTGACATCCTCTTGTTTTGGTTGAGTATCCAGGTACAGAAAAACAATTATTAATTTTGGAAGATAAAAAGGTTCCTTCAGGCCTTCACCTCGCTTGAATACTGTTCCATGTTGGTGGAGAAACATCTGGAAAAAATAGGTGAAATGTTAAAGCTGCTTGTGAAACGGTCCCAGTTCAAGTCTCCTTTTACTTTCTGAACTTGTTTTAGACATTTTTGCTTCCCGCTGAGGGGGTATCCCAACAGTATATGTATCTATCCTTTTTGGTTTCACAAGATTAATCCACCCACCCTCCACATCCATTTCTCACTTCCTCCCCTATGTGTCTCACCCATCTTCTCCCTTACACTTTCCCCTCCTCTTTTCAGAAAAGGGTATGTTTATCCTGGAGAGTGAGCCTCTGAAACGCTGCATCAAAGTAGATCGCTCTAACCTCGTTCTAGAGGACTGCAAGCGACCCACCCGTCACATGCTGTGGAAGTGGGTGTCCCGACATCGCCTCTTTAACTTGGGCACCAGCACGTGCCTGGGCCTCAACATCTCCGACACAACGCAGCCTCTGGGCACGTTTGAGTGTGACATGGCTCTCCCGGTGCTGTGGTGGCGCTGCAGTGGAAACATGCTGTACGGCGCTTCACAGTGGAAGGTGGCTGTGGCTGGACGTTTGGTGGTGGTAAAGAAAAACACCTATCATGAGTGGAAAAGGTACAACACCCCCAAAGGAGGGCCCTGCTCATATCCATATGAAGGTAAACACCTGACGCATCCTGCTTGTCTTCTGACTTCCAACATTGGCTGACTATCTGACTAGTCTGCACAGGATGTTTCACATTTAACATCATATTAGACATATTATATTTTTGTTTGCAGATATCCACACTTTGTTGGGAAATGCACATGGCATGCCTTGCGCTTTGCCCTTTAAATACAACAACAAATGGTACTCTGAGTGCACAACTGAGGGGCGAGAGGACCATCTTCCTTGGTGTGCTACCACCACTCGCTATGATGAGGCCGAAAGATGGGGCTTCTGTCCGGTGCAAGGTAAATTGGTCATATACACAGATGCACCAGAAAGAGTAAGAAGGGAACCTGAGTAAATAAACATTATGTCCTGTAGTAAGTGGACGTGTCCTTTTTCAAACTTGTTATTTCCACATGTCCAAGGCTATGTCTCCAATGAAATAGTTTCTGAATTTTGTGTGGAAGCTTGACTGACCTGAACAGAGTGCTGAACTCAACCCCATCCAAAACCTTTGGGTTAACCCCGACTCACTCCTATGAGACTTTGTGTACACCGACTTATGTCATTATCTCTTTCCTGATGCCTTTTTTAATTCATGGCTTTATTTGTAGATACTAGTTGTGAGCGTTTTTGGGAGTCAAACCAGGAGCTGCGTGCGTGTTACCAGTTCAACCTGTACACCATCCTGACCTGGAGCCAGGCGCTGTCCACCTGCCAGGCTCAAGGGGGAAATCTGCTCAGCATCACCAGCCTGGCAGAGCACAGGTACATCACAGGTAGGCATCTGCTAGAAAACATATACAGGGACCAAAACATGTATTACATCGACAAACACTACACTGAAACTACACCACACAGATTTTTAATTCATACTACTTCATATTGGGTTTTGCTCTCCCTTCTTATCAGCTATTTTATTCAGGTTATATTGCTCTGTATTTATATCTGTTTGCTGTCTCGTGAGATGGATATTTTCAATTACTAAGGAAATCAGAAAATATTTATTGACAACTCTTACAGCATTCCTGTGTTTGTTTCTTGTCTTAGATCGAATGGCAAGTGTTGGAGCGATGGTGTGGATCGGGCTGAACCATCTGAAGGATAGACGGGGGTGGCAGTGGTCTGATGGAGCACCTCTATCACTGGTCAATTTCACTAAAAGTACGGATTATTATTTGTTCAGCGCCAAGTAAGATTGAAGATTTGTAATGAATGTATTGAATAGGTCATATTTGACATTTCTATTTTTTTGCATTTGATAAGAGATGATTTGATAATCTTTAAATTGTACAGTGCATGGCCACTCCATAGTGCATAAATGAGCCAGAGAAACTACATCAGCTGCTTATCCAAAATGTGATGTTGAGTGTTGATTGACACAATTTAAGTGGATTTAAAAAGACATAAATATGCATGTGTGTATGCTATATATATATATGTGTTTTCTCTTCCTAATATAATGTCCGAGCACCGTTTGTGGAAGAACAA